CAGGAAGCATTTGCAAGCACTGTGGGTAGTGGATGCATTTTTTTTAGTCTCTAAGAGAAATCATCTGGGATGAGGATATTATCTTCTTGAAGTGGCTGATAGACTGTCATGAAATGAATAGGTTTGTGCTGCTACCGTGAGAGAAGGCTTTTGCATGACAGAATTTTTAACTGTGATTCTGTTTATTCTCTAGAACAACTGCAAATATTAAAGGCAGAAGTAACAATACGAGTTGTAAAGAAGATGGTTTCCGATACCATATTCAACATTTCTAAAACCTTGAATCCTTAAAAAGTTTTTTTCCAAATCATTGCTCTCAATAGTTTAATTTTTTGTTCTCTGGTTAAAAAATTGAGTTTCCCATTTTGGAGTTTCAGAGAAAGAAAATTAATTATTTTAATATACACTTTCTACCATTTACTCTGATACTTGCTGGAGAGATTCCAAACAGTCTGATTTAATAACCCAGATAACAGTGGTTCTTACCATACAAAATTGCCTATAGAATAGATAAGACAGTCATAAAAAAGAAATCAAATGAAGTGCTTTGGAATAGACTAATTATGTATGAGAGTCAGGAAGAAACTTCCCTCGTACTCAGTAAGATAACTGGATTATGCTTTCTTCTAATTTGATAAACCCTAAGTAGAACTGATGACAAGAAATGAGCCAAGATGTGCAACAGTTTCTCCATATGACATTTTCTCCTACCCTATTCCTATGTTAAATGTGATACTTGAAACGGGGGAATATACTATAGTCAGACACTCACTTCTTATTTTTTAAGACTGAAACGACACACCCTGAAAAACTAGAAATACCCTGAAAAGATGAAAACTGCATCAGTATATATTTTGTTACTAAAGCCAAGCAGCACCCATTTTCACAGAAGATGATACATGAAATTCAGAATCGCTTCAAAATTGTACTACTTTCTTAATTTAGGAAAATGAGCTTAAAAGAGGTATAAATGTTTCTACTCCTCTTTAAAGATATATCCCTGTCAGAATTCTCAATTTGTGGTCACGTCACTTCATCTCAAGATGCAATATAAACTTCAGTACTGGTTTCAAGTTAAGTTTGTGGTGCAAAGCCTATAATGCATGTATGCTATGTTCACTTCTGAAATGATTAGTGTCCAAATCTGTCTCTTTTCCCAATTTTTTTGCCAAATTTTGCTTTGAGTCAGAAAAATTTCTATAGGTCAACACACCTGACGAAGTATCTTTCATTTGAGACAGTACTTCCATTATCCTCTACTCTTTTGTTCAAAGTGTCTTAGGCACAAGTTCATAGCTGTAGCCTATTTAATAACAGCTGAATGACATTAAAAAACATCTATCTGACCTTCCACTTCTATCACAACAACTATTAATCTTTAGGAAAATGTATTTTGTTGGAGGATATTGTTTTCCTCTTCTCTTGACTCAACTGGATCTTCTGGCACTCAACACTTTGATCATTGACTGCCAGCTAAGCCAGCACTGAATTTCTTATTTGCCTTCTACCACAAAATCTATTTCCATAGGCAAGTAAATCTTACATACTAAGACACTGACTTACTATGGTGTTTTCTTCACTGTATTTGCTTTTTGGCATTTATATTTTGCCTCTTTGTTCTAGCTCTTGTATAGACTTCACTATAATGCTGACATCATCTAGGTCTACAACTTCCTACTAAATCTCTGTAACAGTCATTTGTTATAATGAAATTTTATCACATGAAATACCATTAAACCAAAATATCTACTGGTTGGCTTCAGATTTATAGTTAAAAAAATGATCAGTAATGATAATCTAATTCTTTCTTCAGCACTTCACTTTATAACCCATAAAATACTATTACAATTTATACATTTGCTGGCCCCAAATTTATGGTAATTTTTTTTCCTAATAATGATAATCTGATTGCATGTAAAGAAATTTATTTTATGAGATAGAATACTGCCAGGGTAAGACTGTATGTTGGTGGAAGAAGAGAGACAAAGGCATTGAAATGTAGACAAATGTTTGTATTATTTCCTGGATTGGCTACTGTTATTTCCTCTTCGCAGTTTTCCTAAAGAATTTTTAACTGACCCAGAATCTGGCAGCTTGACTCGTCAGTACACATAACCTTCCCCAGCCCATCACTTCCACCTTTACTCTCTCCAGGGGCTTGCAGTAAAATATCACATCATATTACTCACAATTTCAGTTAGATTTTCAATTTATATTTTAGAAATTTTGGTTACATAATCTTGAAAGCACTCCACCACATTTACAAAAGATGACTTCAGCATTTTCAAAATACAGATTTAAGGACCGATATACACCCTACTTGTTTTTATAGTTTTTGTGTTTTGGTAGGAGATTAATTGCAGGCATATTATACAGCTGTGGAATTCATTACAAGCCAAAGCTGATGTTTTTTAAACCATCTGTGGGCTAAGTCAAACTCCCCTTTCCTGCTTCTATACTACTATAGTTCAGGACAGAACTCTTTGAAATAGCAAGCTAGCAATATTTTGCATATATCTCTTTGAAAAGCTAATTTACCATTGGCACACAACTATTTAATAGTACAGTAATATACACCGTATTTCATCTGCCAAGTACTACTACACATACAACCCTGTGAACTAATATGAAACAGTTTTATTTGCTGATTTTTATAACTTGTACGATATGTTGAATGTCTATATCTGTACTAGTTTTATATGTATGCTAAAGATTCTGCTCAAAGTCACAGGCCAATTCTGTATCACAAGAGATATTTGATCCATTTAGGCATCCAGTAGATTGTACATCTCCATCACTATTAACAGACAGCTACTTGAAAAGTGACTTCCTGAATGCCTTCCTAAATATTCAGGGTCATTTAAATTTACTACAGAATGGAAGCTTTCCTCTAAAATTTCTCCCACCACACCAATACCACTTTCAAGCTCCTCAGAGGAAAGAAACATCAATCATATGTGTTGTACTAGGAGGTGCTGGCTTGTTACAATTCCAGTAAGAACGGCACTCAGACTCTGTAAAGTATCTCTTAAAATGCTATTTATTGGACCTAAGCCTATAAATAAAAAGAAGATAGTATCAGTAATCTCATATCCCTTCAGATGCTGGGAATCCTGAGCTGTGTGGAACTGAACAGGTCTCCAGCCATGCACAACATGCTATGCAGATCCCATCCGTGGAACGTTTCCCAATTTTGGTCATTTGAGCTCTTACAGGATTTTCTTACAAGCAAAACAACTCTATTTGTCATTTATGCTGTCAAATAAAAAGGACATTCACATGGCAACTTGCTGCTGAAGTTTTAGATAAAGGCAAGGACACGCAAGTAGTGTAACCACTGGTACCAAGCAGGAGCTGCCTACAGGCTCCTCTGTTACAATTAGCTGGCAAAGTTTATCCTGCAGCAAAGGGATGTGCGCAACACAGGCCTGAACATCAAACTATATGCACGGCACAGCACATGTCTGTGCTTAGGTTAACTGTTACGAGGATTTCTATCTCCTTGATGTACAATGGTCTTCCAGTTAGGGTCACTACAGCATCTTACATTTCAGTGCGATGTAAATTCTTTAAAGTAAATTGAGTTTACTGATTAAGTTATAGGGCTGTAAAAAAAGTCACTTAAATTGCATACCTGTCAGCACCACTGTGTGTTCTCCACCACAAGCAACCTTATTAACCTTTTCCATAATTCCCAGTACAGGCTGTGGGACTCTATTGTTCTTCAGCTGTTCAGGCAATAATCCCAGTTTCCCATTCTCAGGTTCTCCAAAAGTATAGAGCTCACCATCTCCTGCGAAAATACAGAACAGAGCAGGATTTCCAGTATGTACTCAGAAGCAAGGATGGGTTGTCAAGACTGCTGCAGATACAAATCAGTAAGATACAAAAGTGTATGAACATTACGGGATAATTGAACATACTTGTATGATGTCCAAACAGCTGTGCAAAGCATTCTACTTTGACAGGACAAAAAGGGGCTAAATTTTAGCCCCCTCCAAGATGAGAACTGCAATATTTAGCCTGCAAGGGAAGGGAAGCCAAGGGAAAACCAAAACTATATACATCCTGCTTCTGAGAGGATATAATTCCCTCTGTAATCAGTATTTATGTCAAATGCAGTTGCTTGTAAGAATCTCAGTTAAAACAGAAAAGTATTTTGCATCAAATTTTGTTATAAAATCCACACTTTCTTCTTGTAAAATATAGAGAAAAAGAAAAAAGCAGAGTAAATGACATGAAACTGTGTGTGGTCTGGACAGCAAGAAAATAGCTACATATTCAACAACAGGAATACAGAAGTGGTTCCATATCAATCAATCCACCAGAATTAAGCTAAAAAAAAAATACCGAGAGGTCTTTACAGATCTATTCCTGTAACATCTTTCTGATCTGCTACATAATCACACAAGAAGACCCTTCTCATTTACCCAGACTTTTTAAGAATGCAGTTCAAAAACTGTTCAATCCCAAATTTGGGTATTTCATTTTACTTTCAAGTTTCCTTTGTTTTATCTTTTCCAATCACTCCCTTTGCTTTTTCACTGCTATGTAAATATGAATTACCATTCAAGACAGCATTCTATATATCTTTCTACCATAGTTAAAAATGGAACATGTAAAATGTACTTTCTATTGCTATATTTACAATTTATCTACATTTATCTACATCTTTTACACTTATCTACATTTTACATTTATCTACATATTTTTTTTACAATTTATTTACATCTGCCTTTCTGATTTTCTGTGCTAAGGGGCCCCCAACTATTCCAATAGGTCTGAGTGAGGTTTAGGTAGAAAGCGTTTCCTTACTGCCAGGAAAGCTTCAAGTTAATAGCTGAGTGTTCTCCGCTCCTGAAAAAGATTATCTGTGGAGTAGTGTCCTCATAGCAAATTGTGACCCACAATCTGAATTTGAAATTACTTACTGAAAAAATCATCATACACTCTTATGTAAGAAAAAGCTTGGGTTTTAATCCCAGTTGGATATAACAAAGCACAAGGATAAACAAAACTCTCTCACATGGAGCTAGTCCAAGACAAAGAAATGTTTAAACTAGCCTAGGAGCTGCCTGCTAAAGGAAATTTGAAGAGATAGCTACAGTTACATAATCAACATAATAACAAACCCCAAACGTATACTCCATCATCAAAGCTCAGTCATCAGAAGCACCCATCTACAATATCTTTTGGAAACATGCAGATTTGTACTTCAGTACAAAATGCACTTTTACTTTCAGAGGGATACATTTAGTGTTTTCAGAAGGACACATTTAGTGTTCACAAATTTACTTTTACAGCATTTAGAGGCATTACTATTGCGTGATGCACAAGTATCTGAGAGATTCTTATTCAAAAGCTATGAATTCCTTGCCAAGATGAAAGTTGGGTTAATCTTAGAAACGCTGGTCTTTCCCCACACACAGTGAAAACAGATGAGCTCAAAGAAAGTTTCAAAGCTGAAGCCTTAATTAGGTGTTCAGAATTGACCATTAGAGAAGTCCATCCCTCTCTCCACTGAACATAGGCAGAGCATAAGAAAACAAGCTTATTTCTAGTTTTCTGTTATCCTTTGTGGATATTCTTCCATTTGCATAGCTGCTACATTTGTTGCTTTTTCCTTGCACTTTGTCAGCCGCAACTTAAAATTTGGAAATTTAAGGACAATAGCAATGACCAAAAAAATAAGACTACACAGAAATAGGAAATATGGAAGAGCTAAAAGTAAACCTATGAATAAAAATGTAATGTGGAAAAAATGAAGCTACGTATGCATTCTAAAAAGCAAATGAGAGTAGTCAAATTATTAAAACCAAGTTAATAAAAATTTAAGGATATGATTCAAAATTAACTGAGGTTTATTAAAACTTGGGCGTACCAAGCCAATACAGGAAAGGAATTTTATCTTTTTGAATTTTTAATTCTGATGCTGAGAAAGTCAAAACTGGTGTCAGTAAGAAATGCATCATTTTTATTGAATCTTCCTAAGCTTTACTCCAGCAATACATTCATTTAAAAATTCCTTTTGCATGAATGAAAACTGAGCGAGAATTTCAGGCTGCAAAACCACATCTTTGTTTTGTGTAACTATGGGACAACTAGTTAGTAATACATTTTCATTTAAGTCATCTGGTAAATCCAATAGATAAACCAGATTAAAAATGTTTTTCCTGGAAAACCTTTTTGCCAGTGATATATATATTTTTTTTCTTTGTGGCACTTGGCTCTTGATTACTTTGTGACTACAGTGACTACAGCAGTGGGTGCATAGAACAGAGGAGCACAGACTGCTTTTCCCAGGACCCTCTGATTCATTCTGAAAACCCTTAAACTGCTATACCTTTTAATAAAGCAGAGCTTCTCCTCCCATCCTCTCAGAGGAAGTAATTCTGGAGCAGTTATGCTGATCTGTGATGTATGTTACCTTTGGTATCAACAGTCCACAATAAGCAAGAAAAAAAGGTCTAAATAATGATCTATTTTCTTCAAAGGAAGCCTGAGGATAGGTTATCAATGAATTTTCACTATAGAGAGAATCTGAAGTATGTGTCTTATTTTATGGTAAAGTTTATTAAGGACAAAAACAAAACAGAGGTTATGCATTTTTTGATACCTCAGCTTCAAATTAATTTAAATGCATACATTTATCAATTAACTTAAAAATTCTGAAAAAAAGGCATATTCAAAGAGCAAAAACTGTAGAAAGGACTTTTTTTCATAAAAGCCAAATTCCTGCTTTAAATGGAAAATGGGTCCTAAGCCTCAACATGAAGTTGCAACCCAGCACTTCCACCAAAGATTCAGAACCTAACTTTGATGGCACAATATTTATTTGTAAAGCTTACAAGACCTAAGAAATTTAGCCTCTGCCTTAGTCAAAGAAAACCCAGACTATTTTATATGGTTTCTATATTTTCCAAGATCGCTTCTGCCTCTCACAATGGCACAGATTCTTCAGGTACCATGCTCCTGGGCCACTAAGGCTAGCAACTGGACTTACTATCTTTACTGAATGCTCTAACTGCACAGGGAGGCAATCAGGGAATGACAATAATACAATCTTACTCAATGTCAATCTTCCTGCATGAGTAGCCACCCACAATCTAGTCACAGAACTACATTCTCTTCAGCAAGACAAAGAAACAGGATAGCAGCTGTATTTCCCAAGTATCACCATCAGAGGTGTAACCCCATCCTCCCAGCTGTCATTTTTTCTATCATTTTGACATTTCCTTTCCTGCACACGCAAACTACACCAATAATATTATAACACTTCATTTACCTGCATGTATCTGTGCAGAAATACCTTCGTTGCATTCTTCTACACTTCTTTTCTAAGAGGTGTTTTGCAGTCATTTCAATCTGTTTGTGTTTTTTAAGAAACAGCAAATGATCTCAGCTGCAGAAAAGTATATTTCATTTCATTGCTGAACTATGGACTGTGTTTAGGCTCCTCTGTTCAGTTTGTTTTTCTGTTTTAATTCTGATCTTTATTCTCATACCTCTGTGCAGAAATACTCTGAACAGGCTGATACTTTGCAGTTATTTGCAGCAGCATCAATTTTCTATTCTAAAACAGTAGCCCAATTAACAACAAAAAAACCAACTGCAGTGTGAGGCTTTCTGTAACCAAAACTTTCCATTGATAAAAAACAGATTTTACTAGGGATTCTAAGTGAAAAGAAAGAAAAAAAAAAAAAACCAACAGCAAAAAAAAATCTGTATTTTTTGGAAGGAAATATTGTTTTAAGTAGCCCAATTAACAACAAAAAAACCAACTGCAGTGTGAGGCTTTCTGTAACCAAAACTTTCCATTGATAAAAAACAGATTTTACTAGGGATTCTAAGTGAAAAGAAAGAAAAAAAAAAAAACCACAGCAGCAAAAAGAACTCTGTATTTTTGGAAGGTAAGTATTGTTTTAATGCTCTTGGATCTGCCATGTATTTCTAGAAACAAGCTGATAAACCCCCAAAAGCACTTGGGAGTTAACCGCTTAGGCAGTTCTCTTTGAAGAGACCGGCACTCCTTTTTAAACACTACTGCACTGCAAATATTAATCCAATCACAATCTAATTAATAGGATTAGAGATTCAAATGGCCAAGCTTCTACTGACTTCCCAACCTAATCGTTTATTACATTTTTTCAACTTAATAATCCAGCTAACAAAGATAAACCCATTTATTAAAGCTATTTTTGAATACATTACACACCCCTTTAAGGCAAATAGTAGTCTAAAAATTATGAAGAATAGCTATCAAGCATAAAAAGAATCCAGTCAAACCCAGATAAATTTTGAGTACAGTATGTGTGCAGTACATCTGCATTTAAGGACATTCTGTTCACAATGGAACGTGGTTATTTCATTTTCTCCTCTCATATGAGTCACATTCTCACATGTTGAACTTTCCCTATGTGGGACATTTTCTGTATCACTAAACTTAAGGTCACAGGAGCATGTCAAGGAAATGGGCAAGTGAATGGAAAACTATCTTTGCCCCTCAAAGGCAAATGCACATACTGTAGATGAGAGAAGATATGCGACCTGGCTGGTGGCAAATGAGGGCAGTAGACAGAAGAATTGGATCACTCTATGATCGCTTCAAATAAATGAAGAAAAAAAAAGTATTTATTCAAGACCAAATTGGTTGAAACCACCTCAAATGCTGAATGTCTGAACACGGAAGTGTTTGTGGAATGGATAATCTTTAAAACTGGTCCTTAAAAATAATGCCAAAGTACATTAAAAAAAGGAATTCAAGGAACCCGCAAAGCTCTCTATGAAAAGACATCTTCTCAGTGAGAATCTATCTTGACCTTGCTTATAGTAACAGTTCAGGCAGAGGAAACACCAGACAAGGTCTAATATATTCAATTCCTTTCTGGCTCCATGAATGTAATTCTGCTTTAGACACCAGAGTAGTGGTTAGATACATGGGCTTTTCCTGCTCTCCATCTCTTCCAGTAGACAAATGAGGTATATATGCTTGCCAAGCTTAATGCTTTCTGAAAAACTGTCCCCTCTTGAGTGTGGTCAAAGACTAGTCAAGTAAAAAGCTGTATATGGACTCAAAATTGTTACTATGCTTTTTTAGCTCTTTCTTTCTCTATTGCTTTGTTTGAGACATACCTGTAATATGGGGACCTAAAGCCCCAAGTCTGCAAAAAGAAAGGAATGGGAACAGATACTGGGAGAAAGTCCTAAAGAAGGCTGGAAACTATAAACTAAAAACTTCTTTGCAGTGGAACTCTTTGAGGAATGCAAAGTGAGAGGAAAAGGGAGCAAACAATCCTCTTTCAAACATGAAGTGAGTAACCAGATCAGCTTCCTAATTTGTGTATGGAAATGTGCTAGCCATTGCCTGTGCTTGCACCTAGTCTAAATTTCAGAAGTGTTTTTTATTAAAAATAATTCAGGATATATTCTGTTGTTCTATTCTACAACTACTTTTGGCGTCAGTGGGGCCCACATGCACATGGTAGAATACAGGTGACCCTGACATGTTCAGTAGTTGAATTATCGTCTGCAAAGGATGCATTCTAAAAAGCAAAAGTAAGAAAGGTGACAAATCATCTTTATGGAGCTATTAGATTTGAGAAACTTCAGGTTGGGGAGAGCGTTGTAGAACTGAAGTAGAAATTCACATGACTGAATGCCATACAATTTCCATAAAACATGCTTTTACCTACTAAAGGTTTGTGCCAGGATTCCACTCTACTTTTCATTGACATTGCACCTGGCTTTATAGTAGTTAAACACCTTAAAGACAAATGCCTACTAAAAAATCTTTTATAAAACCAGCTGTTTCAAAGAAATAACAACTTTAGTAAAGAAAAAATGCTGGAATCCATACTTCACCACTTTTTTTCTCAACAGTCTCTTACTAATGAACATCCTGCCCTGGAGAGGGCACTCTGTGACCACACTATGTATTCTAGTTACCACCTTTTAGTTTTAACCCAGATATGCCTGTGATCCTAACAGTTTGTTTAGCCAGTATACAGCTTATGTCAAACATAAATATATTAAGAAAGGGAACCATATGGTGCCATGCTCATCAGTTCAGCCTGGCAACATGTATCAAGTCCTACACCCTGCAACTATGTTTTATTATTAAAGATAGTATATTATTTGATGCTTTTTTATGTACAAGTCGTGTTAAAAAAGTCAAAATGTAGTAATTCTACAGTACTCTAATAACTGATAAGTTACAGGTGTTGAAAGCTTTCTTTCAACACTGTTTCTCCCATTTCTTCCATAGTAACAGCAACCACAATCTAAAAAAGTTCCTCTGGTATACTTTATTGAGGGAATTACGACAGATGATACACTCACCTGAATAGTTCAAATTTAATTTCTGGAAATACAGACTCACTTTCTTTTCCAGATATTTCCTCCAAAAGTTTGTTTAAAAATAACACTAATACCTCTAAATTCCAGTATACAAGATAAAGCCACACAATAAAAATGCATGGAAAACTCCCTGTGCTAGACAAACCTTTAAACATACTTCAAGGCGTAAGTCAATAACTAACTGGCAATTTGGGGGAAAAAAAACCCTATCCCTGCAATATGAATATTCGAAATACTCCATAATTACCTAGTTTGCTATGTTCTACCACCCCTCAGAGGCAGAATACTGAAGATGTGAACCACTGTTCTGAGCCAGTCTAGCAAGTTCTACAGGCAAGTGTTTTCCATAAGTGAAAAAAGAATCCTGGTAATACTAAAAGAATCCCCTTTTTTTAAGCAAAATCTGTTAACGGTGTAGTGCCTTGACTTTCTTCATAGGCTGTAAGAAAAATAAGGTGACTACATTTGTACTCAAACAGACTCAGCTTGCAGAACTTCCAAATTCATAATTTAATGGCTAACTTCATAGCTAAAATAATGTGTGACTATGGTACACTTAGATTAAATGCGTAAGCTTTGTTTTTAAACACTGTCTAGATACACATTGACGCTAGTGCAACAGAAGATCAATTCAGTAAAAGTACCTGGATGTCCAACACTAAATTTCTATGGTAGATAAAGTATCAGTCAAATAAAACTGTCAGCAAGGGCCCAGAGGAAAATAATAAAAAAATATTTCTGCTTTCACCACAAAAGAGGTCATCCATGTGTCAGTCAATTCAGCGAGATACGTTGAAGCCCAATTTGTGCAGGATTTGCAGATACTATGGCTGAAAATTAAGATTTTCCATCTCATACCCAGGCCTGTTTAAACAGTAACGGGTTCAACAATTCCCCATTTTCACAGCTGCTAACCAGTTCATCTTCTTATTAATATCTTAAGAGGCTACATTTCTCTTACCCAGCTGCTACACTAACCCTTTTTTCTCATCCCCCTCCATTAAAAGTTTCCACTTCCTTAGAGCACCTGGCACACACTGTTCTCTCCTTGCTGTTAGATGTTTGTCCTCAACGCTTCTTCTAATGAGAGCTTTTGTCACATCCCACTGCATTCTTGTCAGAGCTTCAGCTCTTGGCTCTAAGACAGGAATACACACCTTCTTACTATATCCTTTAAGTAAGGGTCTTTTTTTTTTTTTTTTTTTTCATTTATTTCGAGTTCAGGAAGCTGTAGATTTCCTAACAGGTGCTGAGCTCCTGATCAGTCAAAGGCACTTCATTTGTTTACTGTAATAAAACATCTATAATAAAAGTTGCATACTACCAGCGTAACACCTAATTAGTATTTGTTCACCATAGGAAGCTCTCAATCTGTTAATAGCATATTCTCAGAGAGCTATATAGATATTATATGTGGAAAAGTAGCATTTATCAAGTAACCTGAGAAAAGTAGCTGATGGAATAGTTCCTGGGTACCCATTAAAAGCTTGACAATCAAAACTATTGATCCTTTGAAATCTTTAATTACTCTGAGGGGACTAAACTGTAAAGCTTAATAAAGTGAATCTATATGGCTGAGAGGAATTCATGGCTGCTCATACATAATACCATCAGTACTGACGGATAAATGATAATGCCATGTTGGCATTATTAAAAAATGAGTGGTATCATCACTTTGTGTTGTGGTTTAACCCCAGCCAGCAACGAAGTCCCACGCAGCTGCTCACCCACCCTCCCTCAGTTGTGGGATGGGGGAGAGAACCGGAAGAGCAGAAGTAAGAAAACTCACGGGTTAAGAACAGTTTAATAACTGAAATATAATTAGAATTATAATAATAATATGGTGAAAAGGAAAACAACAAGAAGAGGAACAAAACACAGGAAAAACAAGTGATGCCACCACTCACCACCCACCAACCGATGCCCAGCCAGTCCCTGAGCAGCGATCATTGCCCCTTGGCCAACTCCCCCCAGTTTCTATACTGAGCATGACGTCATATGGTATGCAATAGCCCTTTGGCCAGTTTGGGTCAGCTGTCCTGGCTGTGCCCCCTCCCAGTTTCTTGTGCACCTGGCAGAGCATGGGAAGCTGAACAGTCCTTGACTAGCATAAGCAGTACTTAGCAACAACTAAAAACATCAGCATGTTAACAACATTCTTCTCCTACTAAATCCAAAACATAGACTGTACCAGCTACTAGGAAGAATATTAACTCTATCCTAGCTGAAACCAGGACACTTTGGAAATCAGCAGAGAGGTGGGAAGAGAGAGGTGGAAAGCAACAGAGAGGTGGGTCAGTTTGGAGATCAGACACCGACGTACTGTTGTGTATGCTTCTCCTCATATTGTATACTGCCTGTTTAACTGACTTCAAAACTTAAATTTTAAGATGTAACACCAAACTTCAACAACAATCTTGCACTGCTAGCAAATGAGATTAATTTTTCCTCAAACATAGTAAATCTATTCAATATTTATATTTCTAGAGAAGATGATTATTTGATCATCACAAAAAAATGAATAACCTCAAGAAAAGTTGGATTACTGAAACCATAATATTAACCCACAACATTTGTCATAACCTTCATGAAAATAAAGTGTGGCAAGATAGTCATTCTTTCTAATATACTTTTGCACAACAATGTGCAAATGCAGAAAATTAACTGCAGTTTTTTCTCACAGTATTGTTAATTCAACAATACTACACGATTATATAATAGATTACATACAGGTTTCCCAAATAAATCAATTAGGACCACATCTTAGAGAACCTGTCTCTGGTAAAATCTCCCAGTGTGATACAAAACTACATAGATGACTATCTGCCACATGGCAGTTTTTAATAACCATGGCATATCTAGTTTCAAGAGTAATGAATGCCTCATTAGCTACCTTTACCAAGACAACAATTTGAGAACCACTGACTTGTCTCCACTAACCGCTATTCCCATTCTCTTACCTGTTATCAAGGCAGAGTGATAATACCCACAGGATACAGAGGAAACAGGTTTTCCAACATCCACTTGACAAGGGAGACTGACATAGGCTTCATCAGCCAAGCCAATCTGACCTTCTGAATTGTCACCCCACACAAAAAGCTGCCCATCCTCTAAAATGAAGACACAGACAGTTAGCAGATTTAAAACCAAAACTAATGAAAAGTTAATCTACCCATTTAAGAGCATTCCATGAACTCTGTGTACGATACTACTAAATGTCATGATCTCAAGGACATAAAATGGGATTTAGCACAATGCAACAAAACAGTCTGAAGTAAGAGGGTTATCCCCTAAGCTTTTCAAAAGTGACACAGAACACTTAGTCATGAACTGATGTTAGACCATAAACAGCAACAGGGAAAGTACTATGTAAAAACATTCCTTCAAAAAGAGGAAGATTGAGTGTATAAGACAATTCAGTTGCTAGAGGTCAGCATGAAAATATTACAGTGAATTTAAGGCATCTTCTCATTTCTAGTAGCAAGTCACCACTTTCTCATTCTTCCAAACTTATGCTTTGTTCTGACTTTGGTACACATCCCACTTATTCTTGCCTTATCTTTCAGTTCTTTTCACAGGTGATTATCTTCATCTTGTTTTCCTTAAACTATTACAATAGCTGTTTCAGGTTTATTAAGACCAGCCTCTGTTGACACAAAGGCCAATGGCAACAGTAAAAACCAAAAAAAAAAGCGAAAAAAATGAAAAATCTCTAGATTTTTCTAGAAGAGATGAGGTCTTCTCTCTGCATATTTCTTATTGGTGGGAAATAAGTTGTGAATAAAAAACTGTACCATCTACAATGCTACTGAGACGCTGTTGGGAACTAATATCATTCAAAGTCGACTTACAAATCTCAGGAGAATGTTAGCAATTGTCACAAAAAAATACAAACCAAATGAGCAGGCTAGCATCTCTCTCATACACTCTTATGCTCTCTGTCACATTCTGAAAAGACAGCCTCAATAACTTATCCTAAACATGTACAGAAACATATGCTTTATAGCAAAACTTCAGAAATTACATTATAGGGTAATAAAGGACCACCCATCCAATGGCTGAAAGTAATACAACTGTGTGGACTTCAACATGTCACAATTGTATAATTTTGCCATCAGAGAAGCAGGTCATAGATTAGGCTTCTCTCAGAATTAGTAACGGCACAGCTGTGTAGCCTCTACCAGTAGACCAAAATAGTTGCAGTAGGAAGTGGAATTAGAGAAACTTAGTTTTCATAAGATTCATGTTTTGTAGCTGGCTTCCCTGGAAATGAACTGAAGATTTTTCCCATTTTGAGGGCATGCATACTGTGTCTCCTTTGTAAGGATTCCCACTAAACTAGTACATGTTGAGCTCCCGTTGCAGGCCATCGCTCATGGAAAAGGTCTACTTTCACAAAAATTGTAGGAAGTTAATGAGACTGCCACCCCTTACAGATTGTGTTGAAATAGGCAATTTGCTATCAAAAAATGCCTATGGTTACCAGGGAAAGAAGACAGGGAGGCATAGAAAATACACCCACATATGCAGACAGAATGCTGGAATAAATGTTTCTCTGGAACACCAGGCTGGACACACATAAATAGATTTTATTAGCAGTTGCTCTTACCAGTTACTGCTGCTGAGGTGTAGGATCCAGCTGCTAGCTGTTTGATCTTGTGCTGGTTGGTAAAAAAACTAATTAAATGAAATGTGGTCCTTTCCTCTGTGTCACCTAATCCCAGTTGACCTTCACTGTTACCTCCAGCAGCATACACATTTCCTTTTTCTGCATACAGAAAAGCACATGTAATACACAGGGTGAAGACATTCTCATCAGTGGTAAAACGTCAGGGAAATTGGAGCAAGCCATTTAATTTTTGATGGAAAAACATTACAGAAAAGTTGGGGTCTGCTGCCCTGAAATATCCTCAAGTTGACATTAGCAGTTTCTGTTGTAGCTAGCAAGGAGGCTTTCCTGCCCATGCTTGGATCAGAACTTTCTAAACGCCTTACATGTACTTGGACTGACTGCGTTTCCCACCACTCTGGAGACTGATCTAAAAAGTAAATAAAATTTGAAGTTCTGCAAGAGTTCTGAGAAAATTACTACTAGTAGCTCTGGCAGCCAGAAGCAGCTCCTTCCCCAAATAATGTGTATTTTAAGATAAAGCAGGAGGAAAATGGTGAACGGTGTCACAGGCAAGAAAACTGAAGTCGTATTAGTACATAAATTAGAGAGATGCATAACTTGATAGTTTTGAGTACTGTGAATGAAATATATTTTTGCTTAGGTTTTTATTAGAAGTATTTTACTCATTTTAATATTTAAATCACTTTTGATTTAATTAACTAGTCTTTATTTTGTTTCCGAATCTTAAAATTGAAGTTAAAGCTGGTGATTGATATCTTCAACTTAAGAGAATTTTAAGATTTATATTTTTAATTTTAGTATGTTTCACATCTAAAGTGCTCTTCTATGACAAAAAAGATAAGACCCATTAATAACACAAATCCAGACACAAATGTGATAAGCAACTGACATACAATTTATAAATGGACTTTGCTATGTAAATGGCCACAAATTATTTAGCCAGCATGTACACTAAAAGTGACTAATATTTACCCTGTGCAGTCTTGCATACTTAACTGTTATTAAAATGTTCTGGTTTATTCTAATAGTCTTATTTGCAGTGCTCAGGGTCTCCACATATATAAACCTCCTAATAATGAAACGATCCTCTTTATAGCATTACTGCAAGCTCAAGGATTGCAACCACAAAGATGGCTATTCCATTACATAAATTTTAGAAGCATGACAAGAATTTGCATCAATTCTCTGTATACTGTCTCTCTAAAATTTTATTTTTCATTTAAATTTACAGTTTATTTATTTATAGCTTAATAAAGCAACTTGTCATTGAAATAGCAGTCTACCTTGTCTAAACAAAATGCAACAAAGTTTGAAGACCTAAAAACATTCAGTTCTACTATATTTGCTCAAGTATATAACTTCACACTAATAAAGATAAATTACTTGTCAAAGGTAAATTTGAGTACAGATATATACAAAATACTAATATACCTTTAGAGGGCTTAAATGAAATATTGATAATTGTTAACCACACCTCAAATGCCAGCAAGAAACTTTTTCATCTGTCTATTGCTACCGAACTCCTGTATAACATTATTTTATAAACGCATTGGCTCAGAATAAATCAAGCATTCAAAGAACTGGGTATCAAAACCCCAAGTTTTAACAGTACCATTTTTCATTTATGTTTCCTTCCTCAACACTCCTGGGGTTCCTAATGTAATTTTGCATGAAAGCAAAGGAATAAATCTATCTTTAATATGTATATAATATAGGTTACATACCTGTGTAAACTAAAGTGTGGTTTCTTCCACAAACAGCAAGTTTTGTTTTTTCTGGTTTTAAAGCTATGAATTAAAGCCAAAGGGGGGGAAAAGTTACAAACAAGCTGATAGCTGGGTCAACAACAAAATGTTCTATGATGTAGAAGGACCTCTGATTTTTTTCATATTTTTACCAACAGAATGATTACAAGATTTGTTGCCCATTTGAACCTAGCTCATGACTTATTAAATCAGGATTCCCCCAAGACAAGAAGAAGATACAGACCTTAAAAACTTATAGCTGACACTCAGGTTAATTTGATGATGGCTACTTCATGCCAATGCCACATTCCCCAGAATTTACCATTTATGCAACATGCCTCAAAGAACGTATCAAGTTGCAGGACAAAATGCATGCTTAAAGCTGTCTTCAGTTTTCATTAACAGTACTATTCTTAACTCCCTTTTATGCTTCTTAAATCTTTAAAATCATACCGTTCTTTTTGTCTTATCATCCCTATCTTCCTTTGTTATGCACAGCTACCCTTTTGCTAGCATTTTGCTCTTATTGATCACTAAACTCAATTGCTAAGGACAGTCCCATCTGGACTAGAGAATACACAGGTGCCTTTTCTCCTATGGCAAGTGCACTCTATTTCAGAAACAGAGGAAAAAAAATCTCACTGACTTCCATCCTCTCTCCAATTACTGACCGTTGCCAACAATTTATCTTCTCTCAGCCATGTCCATGTGCCCTATACAATGCTCTTAAAACAGCATTATTTTTACATAACATCTCTTTAATTGCTTTTGCACTGCACTAGTCCATGACAAAGCCAACAACCACCAACAAACCCTTTTTCAGTCCTTCCAAATCAACTTTCATCAGCTCCATAACATCCAGATTAAAGTCCCTTCTACCAAGCCACTGAATAAATCTATCTACCCAAGCATGAACTGTCTCTGGTCTATCACACAGACACAAACATAAATTGTCCAAATTCAGGTTCCTGCCTATCCTATGCAACACCTACTACTACCACCAGGCTGGAACCATAAAACTTCAAATGTTGGCTTCTTCCTGCTGCTTTATATCCCAAAACTGCCTCCAGCTTCAGAGATGATCTTAATCAGCTCTTCAGAAGCCTGTGCTCCCTAACCTTCTTCCCACTTAGGCTAATCAATTGTATTTGATGAGCTATGCTATATTTACAACGTTGCTGGCAATGTTTCATAACCAATTTCATTAGTCTCTAGTCAGGTTCTGGAAGATAATTTTTTCAGAAAACATGCAGTTACAACCATTGGGCCCCAAGCAGAAACTGAAATGTGTCCTTGCAACCCTATTCCCAAAGCCAAGTGATGACTGAAAGCTAGTGAGAAAAGCTCCAGGACTCTCTCCTGCTGCCTACTGACAAGAGAAGAAAGATACCCCCCTTGTGACTTTTTTCAATGGATGCCAGGTCTGGTTTGAATTGCTGTCATCTTCTCTTCGTCTTTTATTCTCCATTGCAATTTGACAGTAAAAACAAAACTTGACACCCAATCCATTTAAGCCAAGGTAAGAATCAATCTCTCACATGGCTGACAGAAGATGTGAACCTGAGAGTAGCTGCATTCTCCCTCTGAAGTGAAATAGAGAGAGGAGCAGATAAAGGACAGTAGAATAAACTGCATCAGGAAGAAAAGAGTTTAAACAAGCAGGATAATTTGTTTTTAACAATAAGCTAACAAATTGATCTGCTGGCAGAAAGGATGAGAATAAACATTTAATGGTGAAAAGAAATGTGTTAATGGGATAGATCTGACTTGACATAAGTAAGGGGATAGGGAAAAAGTATTGACTTAGTTTGACAAGATAAAACTGGCTAGGAAAGATCAAGATAACAGTGCAATGAAAATATATTTTATAACACATGAAAGAATATGGGCATTTATTTTACTGCTTCATACAAATATATTAACATTTATGACCCTTTGGGCACTTCTTACACCTGCTAAAAATGTAGCAGTACTTGTAGAAAGTTCCTGATAGATTTTTTCATTTATAAAGGTGCTAAGACAAAAGTGATAGAAAGGTTACACAATACTGTTGGAACTCTTATTTCTAACGCACAGACAACACTGCAGAGACCAAGCATCTGATTAATGCCCTTGCAGTCACAATGAAGATGTGGTTTGTCAGAAAAAGCAACTATTACACAAAATGAGAGCCCTCAAAAAAGACAGGATTCTATGTATCTGAAGTAATCTTCAGACGCAAAAGGACCCAGAGTCTGGAACTGATGGAAAATCAATCCGGGATCTTTTTAAAAAAAGCTACCTTTATGAGCTTGTGCAGTAATACGCTACACATGATGAGTAAAGAAGGCAGAATCAGTTATTTTGGAACTGCATCTTATAAAGTACCTTTTCACAAGGGTGTCCTTTCAAAAACACAAAAAAAGAAAAATTAAACAAACCTTTAACACATGTTGGTTTGCTGACAGTGTTCTTTGATCCTAGTCCTAATTGGCCCCAGTTGTTACTGCCGAACATGTATAGTTTACCATTCCCTGAAAAAAAATGCACAGTCAGAATCCATACAAGTGTTTGAATACCTCATACAAGACAAGATAGGCATTCACACACTATGCTATTTATTACTTCCTTTTAATGTAAGGTTTAAGATTAGGCAATTCAATACTTAAGTGTAAACAATAATTAATGTCCTTGTGACTTTTCAGTACAAAAGTAGTAATTGCATTAAGTAAGAAATCCCCAGCCAGAAGAAGGGACAAAAAGCAGAACAAACATCCTTTCCTTTAATTACAGCACAGACAAAGTGCTCTTCAGAAAATAAAATGTTGTACTCTTGGACAGACCCTGCAGTTCAGAAACCACAGTATCTATAGGCCTATTTATAACAGCACATTTAACTGAGCACCCACATCTTTTACTCCGAAGACAGAAATGAATAATGCAGCTATATAATTAATACAAACACAAATTTGTAATATTCAGCTTATTTTATTGTTTTGGGGGGGGCTATTTCTTTTACTGCTACATGTCTTCTCTCAAAATCATTTATAAATTTGCACTTCTACACAATATAGTTTCTGATAAATTTTCCAATGTGTTCACAAATTGTATTGATTTGTTACTCTGCATATAAAGAAGGAATGCATAAAAACACCATTCAGCCAGGGAGTTTTGTAAGCCTAAATGAAAGCATTAGATTACAAATCTTCAACAGAAGCAATGCAAGAATCGTATTTCAGAAACTGGTATGATGTGCCATTGAACTTGCAGGTTTGACCATTACAAACAATGAACTGCTGCAATTCCAAATAACCAGGGTTTTTTTTAAGAGGATGGTGTATGAACAGATGAAACTTTTGTCATCAGGCATGCAAATTAGACAGCTAAAACTGACTACTGACAATACCTTAAAATGAATTCTTTTCATTTAATTTCATTTTTTAAACTATTACTGTTTGTAAAGCTGTGAAGTTCACACCCAAAGATAAAACCCTTGTTCCAACAGAAATCTTTGCAAAATAATAGAAACTTGATTTGTCAAAAAAACCACCTTTTACAACTGTTAAAAGGAGTTTGTTTACTTTTGATGAAGATCTGCAGAGCTTTGTGAGTTAGACTCCATCACCAGGCTGTCATGTAAATAAACTTTGTCACCCTAGCCATCAACAATTATCACATGATCGCAACGCATAACAGCAATTCCACATAATAATGCCAAAATATTATGGCTGTTTGTACTTCAGTAGTGTAGGTTCCCAGCAAAGGTTCTGAATGTGATTTACAAAGACTTGAAATATGATATTGAAATGTTTAAAATATAACACAAATACTTACTCCATTAAAAAAAAATCAATTTATTTTCTTAAATATAACTACATAGTTTAAAAAAAAAACCAAACAAACCACCAACACCTAACAATAACTAGTATCTAAAGTCCCAATCAAATTGTTAGATTTGATAATTTTTGGAACATGGGGCTATGTGTCAATATTGTATCTTTCCAAGAAAGTTGGAAGCGAAGAAAGTCTGACCTCAAGTCTACACCCATGGTGTTTTACTAATAGCATTTATATCACCATCCCAATTTAGATAATACAATCACGTCAAAACACATGCAGAGCCTTCTGTCACCAAGAGCAAAACGCACCTTAACAGAAAGAATTTTTATTAGCAAATGGCATCCTATATTGGTATATGCTTCCTTGTATCTATGGTTTATAACTCCTTAACTGCCTTTGTAAGACAGTAGTACTCCTATGGGAATGTGATGCCAAGCTGCCGTAATTCAATTTAAGCACATTCCCCTTTATCCATTCAAAATTCCAACAGGTCACGATTTTCATCCTATAATCTGCTGTTTCCTATACCAGTCTTTAAATTCTCAGGCACTACTTTGTAAGTCAAGTTGCTTAATAGATGAGAGGAATTCTTTTACATTCTTTTAGAACTGAATGACAGCCTTGTATAATTTCAGGCTTCCAACACTTAGCAGTGTAACAGAAAATAAGGAAAATGGGAAGCAGATAATTCAGACAGTGAATGAAAGCTAACAGGCACTACAGAGGAACCTAAACAAATGCCTGTAATGAAGCAACACTTCTGGGTCTGTACAGCAAACTGGGTTTTGGAACAGACATGATGAAATCTAAGCTGGTCAGGAAACACGACAAAATTTGGTATGCAAAAGGCCATATTTTCATAATTGTGTACTGAGATAACTCCAGTCATCACCACAGATGCACTGAAGTGAGAACTAATTCAACAGCAGACAAATAGGCAAGGATAATATTTCAGAACTTTGCAAACTCAGATTGCTCTTGTCTTTTTGCTTCCACTTTGGTGCTGACATGCAGAGATTGTGGCCATCTGCCATCTGGAATGGCTGGCAGAAGACAGGTCCGGCAGAGTAAGATTATGACTCTGGGCAGCAGAAGGGAACAACGGCATATAAAGAAAGGGACTACTAGGACTGTTTTGGTGATGAACACCAGTTTCCACCTTCATCCTCATGCAAGACTGGAGTACTTCTCCAGAGTACGTATGCATTGGCTTACCACCAGCAGATGTTTCACCAACATTAACTCAGGGCTATTAGGGAAGCTGTAAGATGCTTACACATTTAGTAACAGAGGATTTTGTGAGACACTTCAGGAAGAGTACATTTCTCATAGGAGTAGCTGCTATCACAACTGTGATTCCTGGGAACCCCACCTATCACGTGCTCCCCTGTTTCATGAAGTGCTACTAAAGGCATTCATTCAGCACCTGGAAATACCAGCTGAAATCCTCAACATGCTTCATGACAACAGCAGGCAGACAAGTATTCCTATCACCTACGTTTAAAGGTATGTTTTACATAGTTCCCACTTTGCTTTCTAAATTGTATTAGTGTGGGAGGGAAATAAAAAGGGGGAGACAATGTACAGACTTTGAGCATTCATTACAAGATTCTATTGAGAAGCTATGTCTGAAGAAAACTTAAAAGGTAATATTTTGGATAGAGCATCATATGCCAGGCACCATGATTTTTTTTTATTTATTTGTGTGATTTTGTGAATAAACTATGTTAACAGTTCATTTAAAATTCATATACAATTCAAATACATCTCATGAAAATGAGAATGACATCAGTTTTGTTAGGCAAGTCACGATATTCTCGAAATAAAAGCTTTATTGAGCAATAAGAACAGTCATGCTTAGGACATTTAGCATCACACAAACAAGAACAGCGCAGTATGTTGCCTACTCCTACACATATCAATATCACATATCCCCTTACAGCTGATGTAAAAGATACTGGGCCATGTTCTGATGGCCTGCTGGTAGGCAGAAAGAATAGATGGAATCTGGTGTCCAAAGACCTGGAGAGATTCGAAGGTCTCTTTGGTGTAAACTGTTGAATGTTTAATGCCTTACAAAACTTGAAATTATGAGCATACTATCTTGTTGTTGTTCCATATGCACCTCTTTTCACTCCTACTTTTACACTTGAAAACTTCTTTCTTTCCTTCTACCCTCTTGCATTGGGGGCTTCAATTCTCTCCAGAGCTGAGTTCAGAAAATGTGTCTTCCATCATCACCATTTTCCCCCTTGTGAACAGGATCAGTCTCTTTGATCAAATGTGGGCAAGCTGCCTAGGATACTCTAATCAAGGCAAATAAACAATAAGACAGCTGTTAACTTTAAGAGTTTTGTAGAAAAGAAAATTAATAGAAAGGTATTAGGAGGAGATTCTTAAAAATATGTGTAATGTCATTTATTTCACACCAGCTCCTAACAGGATGAATAAATTGCTTTCCAAAGTCTCAGTTATAACAGATGCAGGGAGTGGACTGTCAGTATTCTTGGGTCAAAAAATATAGAAATGGGGCAAGAAACATTATTAAGAATGTTACAAGTGATGCTGGAAGATATACTCCTCATGACTGCATTAAAGAACTAAAGAAGACAACTGCTTAGAAGAAATCCTGCTTGAACATTTTAATGAAGATTGTGCTAGAGGTAGAGAGCAAATGAAGAAAGAAACACAAATTCCAATCCCAGACTCCAAAACTGGAGGAAGAAGTGTTTCTCCAACTAGCTCAGCAAGCCAACTCAAAGTCAGCAAGTAACTATCACTGGTCTTTTCTATTCCAACATACAGCCACAGTATGTAAATAACATTTTGGACTCTTAACTCCTGACCTAGAAAGCCAAAAAACAGAGTGTTTTATATCTACTTCACACTTTTCTTCATAAGAGTCATATGGGAATACTGATGCTGGATTAAAGAAGTGTTTGAACATTTCTGAGTATTTTGTATGCTAAATATTAGTTCCTGTACGTTTTCTTCTTTTGCATTCAGTCAAGATTCAGCGCTAGATGTAGCTGTCTCTCCTGCTCAAAACCAGCTTTAAGGAATGTTTTGTATCAGTTTCAGTGATTGTTTTACTTATGATTATTGAGACATGCTAGTGTAAAACTGATATATTTCTATCAGATTTGAGTCTACCTTATATTCCCACTGTCCCCTACATACATAGGTTCTACTACCTCTTCCAGAGGGTGGGAAAAAAAGGGGGGGGGGGGGGGGAATTTTGTGACCTGTAAATAAAGACTGAAAATTAAATGAAGCATGCATTAACACACACCTGCTTGAGATACTTTTCCTTCCTCAGTGATGCTTGTCTTTCATCTCTTCCAGATCAGGTTCAGCTGGATTTCAAGAAGGTCCTGGTTTCCTGCAAGGTCTGTACCCTTCTCTGTAAACTCATTATCAGCATGGACCTCTGGAGCTTTTATTCCAGGTGTTACTGCAGCTCAATGTCATTCACCAACGGCTGTAATTCCACTGTATCATCCAACTCCATCTAACAGCAGAAATGTGCGGTGCACGCAGGCATGCACAGGTGTGAAGAACAAACGAGGGACAAAGATTTTCCGTTTCCCTTCTTCACTTTTTTGTAAAACTCCTGCAGTTTCTCTACCTTTGCTCGTTGTTGATCGGTATTTTACCCTCAATTTTGCCTCTACTTTACAATTTCCCAGAAAAAATTTGGTACCAAAGAAATATTGTACTTATGCTTCTACAGTTCCTCCTCCTCAAAAGCTTTGAGAAAATAAAGATCTGATTACCTAGATGTTTCCCTGGTGGCATACCTGCACACTACAACAGCAAAAGCCAGCTACAGAGATATTTTTGAAACATGCTGTATATATTAAAATAACAGAGAGAAGGGGAGATAGAAGAGACGGTACTGCGTGCAAACCTATGCAAGGTGACTTCTTCAAAAGCTTTATCTAAGTGGCCACTACTACTGTGACAAGGGAATTAGGGGATTGTTGCTGATTAGGGTAACAGTGCTGGCACAGGCACATGCTGGGGGAACTCAAGGAGGCAATTTAAATTGACTTGTCTAAACTGAGAATTATACTAGTGTTATTTCAAACCAGGTGTGGGTATATGAAAGAATATATGAAAAAAAATTTCAAAAGGAAAATTCCACAGTGCCCCAGGTTACATTCTGATTAATTTTATGCAACAGGCAATTTAATAGAACTGGTTCAATCCAAGAAAACGTGTCAAGCTTTGTTCAAAACACAAACTATTAATGGATACCTCATCTTCTATGAAGTTAGGCTGGAAAAATTAATCATATAATTTCACTTCAAGATGTTCTGCAGTCCACAAAAACTATACTCTTCTTTTACCATGCCCAGAATTGTTCATTCTAAAAATCCAGCATCTTCAACTTTGCTTGGGGGCATAGCAAGAAACCCTCAAGAAATTACATAATGAGCACTGACCAATTGGGCACTGATAAGGAATAAATGCATTCCACTAAAAGGAAAGTCCTGAAAATATGCACATAAATTTCATAACAACGAAGTCTTATTATCTATCAGCAGTTGATTGTCAATACAATCAACACACATGCTCATCAACAAGATTAGTCGCTTCCACATAAAACAAATTGAACGAGGTCTTCAATGTGTATTACCTTCACCATTTCAACAAAATGAAAAAGAACATAAATACTGCTCACTGTATTGCATCTGAGCTGCTCTGAATGCTTTTGCAATTTATTTCTGATTTTAGTAGGATTTTCTGAAGTTTTTTGTGTTGCTTTTTCAAGGGTTGAGTTGACAGCTAACAGTAATTCAAATCTAAATTTCAGAGATGCAATTTTATCTATTGTTGCAGGTAGATTCCTAGTTGACTGCATTCAACAGATACCGTTTACTTCCATGATAGAAACCTCTATATTTGAGATTGTCTACTAAATACTGTCAGATTCACCGGAAACATTCAAGCTGAACAAAGTCATGCTTACTTTAAATCCAGTGTGCTACATTCAGTTATTAATGATTCACTCATGACAGTTCTTGCGCATGTGTTGTGAAAGCCTTCAGGGACCTCACACTAACTTCAAAGGCATCCAATAGCCACCACAGAACAGCACCCTCTCCTCTCCACAACCCCATTTGATATATTACCGCAGGATTCAAATATGAATCATAACTTTCCAAGCTGTCCAAATATATAACCTTTTATCATATACTCCATTTCCAATACTGACCTGTAACAATAGCGGTATGTTCATCTCCACATGATATATGTACAGGCTTGTCATTTTTGAACCAGAACTTGCTAGGAATATCTTCTGCAAATTTGCTTTTTCCGAATGTGAAAACAGCACCTGACTCTAAACCACAAAAACACAATGTCAATTTTAGTGAAAACAAATTTCGCCTCATACATTTTGAAATAGTAATGTCCCACTAATTCAATCACACATTTTAGTTTCCCATCTTTTCCTTTTTTTAAAAAATGGCTGAACCATTTTCTTCTGTTTCACCAAGACTACTTCATTTTCATGTTCACATTTTAGTCCTTCTGATTCTTCTTAGTCTCCATAAACTTCCCAACAGAATACGTATTGTCACTGGTATATTGTGTTCTGAGGATACTGTATTGGGTTTGTGCAGCAAGGTTTTGGTAGCAGTGGGGCTACAGGGGTGGCTTCTGTGAGAAGCTGCTAGAAGCTTCCCCGATGTCCGACCGAGCCAATGCCAGCCAGCTCCGCCCGATAGACCAAATCCCACCCAGCTCCAAGACGCCCCTGCCGCTGGCCAAAGCTGAGCCCATCAGCGATGGCGGTAGCACCTCTGTGATAACATATTTAAGGGGAAAAAAACTGCTGCACAACAGCAGCCAGGAGAGGGGAGTGAATATGTGAGAGGAACGACTCTGCAGACCCCCAGGTCAGTGCAGAAGGAGGGGGAGGAGGTGCTCCTGGTGCCAGAGCAGAGATTCCCCTGCAGCCCCTGGTGCAGCCCATGGTGAGGCAGCTGTGCCCCTGCAGCCCATGGAGGTCCACAGAGGAGCAGATACCCACCTGCAGCCCAGGGAGGACCCCACGCTGGAGCAGGGGGATGTGCCCGAAGGAGGCTGTGACCCTGTGGGAAGCCCAGGCTGGAGCAGGCTCCTGGCAGGACCTGTGGACCCGTGGAGAGAGAGGAGCCCAGGCTGGAGCAGGTTTGCTGGCAGGACCTGTGACCCTGTGGGGGACCCACGCTGGAGCAGTCTGCTCCTGAAGGGCTGCACCCCGTGGGAGGGACCCACGCTGGAGCAGCTCGTGAAAAACTGCAGCCCGTGGGAAGGACTCACATTGGAGAAGTTCATGGAGGACTGTCTCCCGTGGGAGGGACCCCACATTGGAGCAGGAGGAGAGAGTGAGGAGTCCTCCCCCTGAGGAGGAAGGAACAGCAGAGGACATGTGATGAATTGACGGTAACCCCCATTCCCTATCCCCCTGGGGGAGGAGGTAGAGAAAATCGGGAGTGAAGTTGAGCCCAGGAAGCAGGGAGGGTTGGGGGGAACGTGTTTTAAGATTTGAGTTTATTTCCCATTACTCTGACTTTTGACTGGCAAGAAATTAAATTAATTTCCTTGAGTCGAGTCTGGTTTGCCTGTGACAATAATTGCTGAGTGATCTCCCTGTCCTTATCTCCATGCATGAGCCTTCTGTCATATTTTTCTCCCCCTGCCCAGTTGAGGAGGGTGAGTGATAGAGCAGCTTGGTGGGCACCTGGCATCCAGCCAAGGTCAACCCACCACAGATAACAATAGTTTATTTTAAAGTATACTAATGTACTTTATCACTACTCTCTGAGAAAAATTATTAGTTGTGTAAAAGAAAGAAAAGAGAACTCTGAATAACTGCCCCCAGAAAGTAAAATAAAAAGCTCATCCTGAAAGCATGTCGAGACAGAGAGTTCTCACTTACGTTTATACTCGAATTCAAACAGGTTTTCCAAATTGGATTAGAGAGAGACACACACCCACTGTAAAGAGGTGCCAGGCTCCAAATTGACCACTCTTCCTCACCCATCTGAAAAGATGTGCTCTAAAAATAGCCCCCTAAAATCAAAACTCTTACCCTTCAAAACATGGGTTGGCACAACTGTCTTTGATCATAAGACCATGATTTTAAAAACTCAAACAAAAAATCCAGACAACTCTTCCACCCTTGCAATCTGTCTAGTTTTCTCAATTCTGCCTACTTTCCAAAGTGTCAGCACTGTTGTTTTAAAACATAAAACATTAACTATTCATTCACCTTGTGGTCAAGCATGTGGCTTGACACAGAAAATATTAATTCTATGGGAAAATAAATGACTTCACAAGTCAAATAATTTGCCAAAAGCCATGCAGACAATATGGCAAAGCACAATTAGACCTCCTATTTTAAAATGTCAAATCTTGTGCGCTAAGCATAGAATCATTCTTTGGAGAAGAAAACAAACAAAGAAAAAAACCAAACCTTTTCTTTGCAGACTTTCTGTTAACATGTAAGTCATCACAGCACAAATACACACAGTAACATTAGACTGCTTCTGTAAAATTATATATAATTTGATAGTAACATTTTTTCATTGAAAATAAATACAGAGATGTTTCATTCTCATCAAATCTGTGCAACCCAGCTCCAAAACCCAAAGTTCTCTCTTAAACTGTAAATTTGATATTCATTTTGAAATGATTCTTTAATGCACAAGTTTCCCATATTTGCAAATGACGTTGTTTTATGTACCATGTTCAGCAGATATATATAGAACTGTATGTACTACCTCTCTAGATGTGTTTAACCATTTTATTAAAAACAAGCCTTTGTGCAGTCAAAGTTGAAGAAAGGGTTGAGTTTTTCTCATTTTATGCAGACACACCTACAACCACAGACATCCTAAAAGGCATCTGCAAACACGATTTTGTTTTAAATCTCCAGCCAGCCGGCCATGCTGCATATTTGAGCACGCTTACAGTGATGTCTTTGGCACCCGTGCCAAAGTGGAGCTTTCTGGTTCATTTCTTTTTCTTTCAGAAGCACTAACATGAAAGAATATATATATTTTTTTAATTCAACATATACAAAACCCAGACAATTTAATTCACAACTGTCCTTCATATCTCATTAATTTCACAACTTTAAACCTAAGCCGTCAGTTTGGAAATTAGATCCTACCAATTCATAAAATTAAATCCCACAGAGCATACAATGAGGTTTTTGCCGTGCGGGCACCGAGCAAATATTTAAAAATTGTCGTGGTCAAACCATGGACCAAGACTCATTTATTAAAGGAAGAAACCTGTCTGCTTAACACTGCACCACAATACCATGCCGGTGACGACAGCAAGGTTGCCCCCGTCTCTGACGTCAGCGTCCGTATTCCTCCCCAGACGCCGGAAGACACCGGCCCGCGCCGGC